AAGCTGCAAGTCAGCGTCTAAGGGCTGAGGTTTTCTTTTGCGTCGCTGGCGCAGCCTCTCTAAGGCCCCTGCAAAACTTGTGGGGTCCGCTGCCGATCCCGATCCCGATCCCGATCCCGCAGGCTCGGTCCAGTCTGGCTCCCTCTTAATAAAAACAAAAACAAAGTAATAGTAACAATAATATATAATAATATATTATTATATATTAGTATATATAATAATAGATAATAATAATAGTAATAATGCATAAAGAGATGCTATCATAAACCGTAATAAACCCTAATCATTATAAACCCTAATAAACCCTAGTAAATAGATATATCCATCTAAACCCTAATACACAACAATAAACCCTAATAAACCCTAATAAACCCTAATAAATAACAACAAACCCTAATAAATAGCAATAAGCCCTAGAAACATCAATGAAGAGAAACAAACAACAACAAAACCTCAACCCTCATAAACACGGCGAAAGCAATAAACCCAAAAACAAAATAAAGAGTAGAGATGAATAAACAAAGATAAAAAAACAAGGCATCAGAACGACAGGGTTTAGGATTAGTTTATATCCTTAAAGCTTTGTTAGGGTTTAGGGTTTAGGGTTTAGGGTTTAGGGTTTGTCAGGTGTTTATTTACATCGCTGTCTATCCCGCCTTCTACAGGAACAACATCATCAGGGTCTTCATGGACTGCTGCTTCTGCATCTCTTTCAATAAAACCCCCGAGTGTATCATCATCTTCATCTGCTGCTGCTGCTGCTGCTGCATCTTGCTTCCGCTGCTCTTTGTGTTTGTGTTTGTGTTTATGCTTGTGTTTGTGTTTATGCTTCTTCTCGCTCTTGTCTTTCTTTGACTTGCTCTTGCTGTGGGGTTGAGAACCCTCGACACTGCTGCTGTGCTGCTGCAGCTGCTGCTCCTGCTGCTCCTGCTGCTCTTGCTGCTGCTGCTCACCGTACTCTAGCTGCTGCTCATTAGCAAGCAGCACACCTTCACTGGAAGAAAACAATCCCTGATGCTCCTGTTGCAGCTCCTGCTGCTGCTCCTGTTGCAGTTCCTGTTGCAGTTCCTGCTGCAGTTCCTGCTGCTGCTCCTGCTGCTGCTCCTGCTGCTGCTCCTCAGGTGCCTCCTCATCGGGGCCAAAGAGGTCGCCCTCTGCAGCCTCCATTGCTGCTCTTGTTGGAGTTGCTGCTCCTGCTGCAGTTGCTGCAGTTGCCGTTGGTGCTGTTTAACTGAAAATAAGTTGCAGAAGTTGCTTCCAGCAGCAGCAGCTACTGCTGCTGCTGCTGCTGCTGCTGCCTCTGCTGCAACAGTACCGCCTCCGTGGGCTGCCGTTCGGAGTTTGCTGCTGCTTGTATTGCGCTCTCCTTCTGTTTTATTGAAGTATTAAATAATATTAAACATTAAAATAAATATATTTATTAATTTAAGAATTCAATTCAAAGCCCCAAAACTCTCTACAGGCTGCCGCTGCATGCAGCTGCGGCGCCGTCAGCTGGCGGTACACTGCATGTTTATTTTTTTGTGTAAATCAAAAAAGAAATTATTTTATTTATATTAATTGACTCAATTAATAATAATAATAATATTATTATTAAGTGTTTGCCTACCGTTTCCTTCCTTCCTTCGGACGTGTTCTCTGTCTGCTGCTGGGGGCAGCGCGGCTGTCTTGCTGCTGCAATAAACAGCAGCAGCAGTTTTGCTTTTATATTTGTTTGTTACTGCTCTTTATTAAAGATAAAGAGCAGCATTAACAGGAGCAGCAACAAAGAGTGCAGCACCCTCAGCAACAGCAGCAGCAGCAGCAGCAGCAGCCACAACACCACCTCCAGCCGCTGCACCTACCGGAGCGTTTGCTGCTGTGTCTTGCTGCCTTATCTAGCAGCAAAAGGAAGATAACAGAAAACCTGCTGCTGCTGCGGCCGAAGCTGCTGCTGATTCTCTCTGTTTATCTCTTGCTGCAGCTGCTTGCTTGCAGTTCCAGCTGTACGTACAGCTCGAAGAGCGCAGCAGCCTATACACCCCAGAATAAAGAAGGGCCTCAATCCAAACAGCAAAACAAGAGAAAGAAATTAATTACCTTGTTGCTGTCTCTCTATCTCTCCGCGGTGTACATGCATACACCTCAACAGTGCTGCAACTCAAACGCCTGCATGCACTCTGAAAACCCTAAACCCTAAACCCTAAACCCTAAAATGGGAAGGAGACGTGAAGCTGTGATTGGGGCGGGGGCCCTAGGCACCTTTACGGCTATCTTTGCTTCGCTGCATCAATCGCTGCTGCTGCTGCTGCTGTTCGTTGGTGGGGTTGTTGTGTACGGCATTTGGTTTTGGCTGAGAGTCTTCAGGTCTACTACTTGTGCTGCACCCCTCCTGCAACGCCGAAACAGCAGCAGCAAGAGCAGCAGCAGCAGCAGCAGCAGTAGTAGTAGTGGACGTTTGAAGGGGGATGATGCGTCTCCTACTGCTGCTGCAACAGCTGCAAGCAGTCCAGCAGCAGCAGCAGCAGCAGGAACAGCAGCAGGAGGTGATATATCAGACAGCGGCGGGTGTCTGCGGAACCGCAGCAGCAGCAGCAGCAGCAGCAACAGGAGTTTCTCAACAGCAGACAGCAGCGGTGTAGGAACTAAAAGAAGAGACAGCTGGGAAGAGGCTACAATAGACTCTGCAGATGAAGCAGACTCTGAAGCTGAACAAGAGTGTCTCCTTTCTGCAGCAGAGCCTGCAAAGAGACTGCCGAGGCGGATGAGTTTCTGTTCATATAATCTTGCTGCTGGCTGCTTCTCTGCTGCAACACAGGTGCAGCACCACATCGTCTCCGGGTGTATGTACACCCCAAGCCTTCCCTCTCTTGCTGCTGTCTTCAATCTTATTGAACAGGGCCTCGCCACCTTCCATAGGCTCAGGCAAGACATTCTTCTCTATCTTGCTGCTGCTGCTGCTGCTGCTGCTGCTGCTGCTGTTGCTGCTGCTGTTGCTGTTGCTGCTGCTGCTGGTCATGCTGTTGCTGCTGCTGCTGGTCATGCTGCTGCTGTTGCTGCTGATCATGCTGCTGCTACTGTTGCTGCTGCTGCTGGTTGATAAGACGAGAAGAGCCTGGAGGAGGGGAAGCCGGCGACAGCCAAATTGTTTTCCCTTGTGGTTTAGGGTTTGTGGTTTAGGGTTTAGGGTTTAGGGTTTAGGGTTTAGGGTTTAGGGTTTGGGGTGTATGTATGCATGTGTGTTTGTTGCTGTTTAGGAGTATTCCGGTGTTAACTCGTTTATATCCTCGCTGGCGCGAGGTGCCTATACACCCGAACATGCATGTGCGTTGTTTATCTGTTGAAGACAGCGAAGAAATGCATTTATGCATTGAGTGGCTGATGCGTAAAAGTCTGCCTGCAGACAAACCTCCTTGGGAGATCATCCTTGTTCAGAACAACAAACTCCTCAAGCAGCAGCAGCAGCAGCAACAGCAGCAGCAGCAGCAGCAGCAGCAGCAGCAGCAGGTGTTTGAGGTGTGGGAGTGGAGGAAGTACAGCACAGAAGAAGAGAGGGCAACAGCAAAAGAAAGAAAAGGTTTTACTGATGTAGAGAGACACTGCATCATCATCAGGGCTGAGCACTCAATAGGAGACGGAGTCTCTCTTGTTGAGGTACTCCTGCTGCTGCTGCTGCTGCTGCTGCTGCTGTTGCTGCTGCTGTGGCTACTCCTGCTGCTGCTGTTGCTGTTGCTGCTGCTGTGGCTACTCCTGCTGCTGGTCTTGCTGATGCTCCTGCCTTTGCTGCTGCACCTGCTGTTGCTGCTGGGTGCTGCTACTGCTGCTTCTGCTGCTGTTGCTGCTCATGCTACTGTTGCTGCAGCACCTACTCTTGGTGTTGTTGCTGCTGCTGCTGCTGAGCTGATATTGATGCTGCTTTTTGCCGCTTGGATGGTGTTTTCTTGTGTTGTTGCTGCTGCTACTGCAGCTGCTTCACCTGTGCTCTTAATCTATCTGCTTGTCCTGTTGCTGCTGCTGCTGCTGTTGCTGCAGTTGGGTTTGAGGCTGCTAACAGACGAGAGGGGGATTGTCTTGAATGAGGTGGCGGAGCCTCCGGTGCTGAAGGCAGCAGCAGCAGCAGCAGCAGAACATTTCTGTCTCCTTCCGACTCCAACAGCTCTTTTGCTGCGATTGGTGAGGAGACAGCAGCACGGGGTGCCTGCTGTTGTTGCTGCTGCTGCTTCTTTTGTCTTATGAAGCGCCTGCTAAACTGCTGCTGCGCTGGGGTGTACGTGCGTACAGCTGAATTTAGCTGTTGCTGCATCTGTCTTTTCATGTGCTCCTGCGGCTGCTGCTGTTGCTGCTGCTGCTGCAGACGAAGCGGGTGCTGCGCGCACCAGGGCGTTTGCTGCGTCTGTCTCTTGAAGGTCTCCTTTTATTTTATAGTTGCATCAGAGCAATTGTTGCTGCTGTTCGAAGCAGCAGAGATGCATGCACTCCTCTCTCCGGCTCCCCGCAGCAGCGAGATAATCTCCGGTGGAGTCCTAGTGCTCGGGTCTGCTGCTGCTGCTGCTGCTGCTGCTGCTGCAGTTGTCTTTGTTCTTGTTGCTGCTGCTGCTGTTGCTGCTGTTACTGCAACTCTTGCTGTCGTTGCTGCTATTACTGCTGCTGCTGTTGCTGCTGCTGTTGTCGTTGTTCTTGCTGCTGCTACTCTTGTTGTTGTTGCTGCTACTCTTGTTGTTGCTGCTGTTACTACTGTTGCCGCTGCTGCTGTTGCTGCTGTCTTCTCCTCTTCGTAAATAATCATTTTATTGTTGTTTTATGCATTTGTTTTGCTGCTGCTTATTTTCTTTTTACTATATTTTGCTGTTGTTTGCTGGGGTGTCTGTTGAGGTGTCTCCTGTCTCCTTAGCTGTCTCCTTTTCGTTGGTTTACCTCCTCTTTCTCACGCTTTGTCTCTTTTCTTTCTTCTTTCTCTTCTGCTTCTTTCTGCATTTGTTTGTTTGCATGCATGTTGTTTTTGTTTAGAGGTTATTGGCTTCATTGAAGCACTCTGTCTCTTTAAATAAATAAATGTGTAAGGGGAGGAAGATGTACATGTGTGTGTTGCTGTCTCCTTCTGTCTCTTCAGATTGCGTCTGCTGCACCAATGAGTTTGCTGCTGCTGAAGCAAATTAAAACTGCAGCACAAGCTACTTTAAATGATGTCTTCGTTGCCGCATTCACAGGGGCAGTCAGGCGGTGCGTAACTCAACTTCTTGCTGCTGCTGTTGCTGCTGCTGTTGCTGCTGCTGCTGCTGTTTTTGCAGCTGCGGTGCGACCTTTTTTGCTGTTTCTGCGACTGTAGCGGGGGGTGCTGCTGCTGCTGTCACCGCTTGTGCTGCTTCACGTGCTGCTGCAGCATGTGCTTCAGCAAGAGCAGCAGCAGCTGCTGCTGCTGCTGCACAATATATATTGCTGCGTTGTGTTGTGCTGATGTGTGTATAAAGGTATTGTGAATTGCAAGGGGACTTTCAGTTTTCTTCCTGCAAACCAAACAAGCTTCCAAAGGCGCTGCTTGCATGCGCCTTCTACAGGTCAGCAAGCAGCAGCAGCGGCAGCAGCAGCAGCAGCAGTAGAAGGAGTAGTGGTGGCAGTTGTAATAGAAGCAGCTGCAGCAACAACAGGAGCAGTAGCTGCTCCTGCTGCTGTTCCTGGCGTTGCTGTTGCGGTGGTGGCTGTGAACGCATGCGTCTGCATGCGTCTGCATGCGTCTGCATGCATGCTTTCGTTTACTTGTGTTTTCTTGCATTCATGCATGCATGCATGTTTTCTTTTGTTTGTCTGCATGCATGGTTGTATTTACATGCATGCATGCATGCATGCATGCATGCATGTTTTTGTTTGTGTGTATGTGTGCATGCATGCATGGGTTTACATGCATTGATATATTTGTTTTGTTTTGTTGTTGTAGGCGGACTGCCGGCCTTCCGAATTCTTCGCCTCTGTTGCTGCGCAATCGGTTTACTTTGACTCCTCTTTCGCTGCCTGTACACTGCAATGACCCCAAGGAACGACTGAAGAAAGTGAAGCAGGTAATAATAATAAAATAATAGTAATAATAATTATTATTATTGTTATTATTTTGCTTTTTAATAATGCATGCATGCATGCGTGCATGCATAGTTGCATATACACCCCAGAATGCATGCATGCATGCATGCATGCATGCATGTAGATCCCATTGGGAGCGTAGCTGCATGTACACCTGAGGAGCTGCATATACACCGCAATGTTGTTACAGCTGCATGTACACCCGAAGTTTGTTTCAGTTGCTTTTGAGGCGTTGCATGCATGCGTTGTCCATACACCGCAATTAGAAGATGTTGTCTCTTCTTTTTGTTTATTTGTTTGCTTATTTGGGTGTACACACACCCGAAAAGGAGGATATAAATTTGCGTTGGTTTGGTTTTACCTCGTCGCTGTGGTATTTGTTTAGAATTTTTTATTTTCATAATTTTTTTCTTTTCTATTTCTATAATTATTTCTTTTCTTTACTTCTTTTATTAATTTCTTTTCTATTTCTTTAATTCTTTCTTTTCTTCATTTCTTTACTTAATTTCTTTTATATTTCTTCATTTGTTTCTTATTTTCTTTGATTGTTTGCCTTTATATTTCTAATTCTTTTCTTTTATATATTTCTTTTTGAATTCTTTCTTTTCTTTTCAGTTTACCTCGAGTCTGAAGCAGCGGCGGCAAGCCGCAGGAGATTTTTTATGTCAGCGGCTGTTGGGACAAATACTGCCGCGCAGTTTAACGCAAAAAGCAGCAGACACCTTATTCAAGACACACTCTCTTGTTTTCTCTAATCTACCTGCTTATACAGTAAGATTATATATATAATATATATATATATAGATATATGTATATATATCTATATATAGATGTATGTTCATTTATGTACATAGTCAACAAGACACACCCTAGGTGCATATATATATATATATATATATATATATATATATATGTATATGCTAATCATCGGATAGAAGGGATCTGCAGGCAAGGACACCTGCCTCCACTCCTACTAATACTATTGGTGCTGCTGTTGCTGCTGCTGCTGCTGCTGCTGCAGGCTCCCGTATATTTTTGCGGGAGTGAGGTGACGGAGCTGCAGGTGGTGTATCCCAATTTAATACCTCAGGTGCGTGTACACCTGACGCTTGCTGCGGTGTGCTGCTCTCCCGCTCCGCGGCATGTGCTCCAGCAGCTGCAGCAGCAGCAGCAGCAGCAGCAGCAGGTGGAGATGCGAATGGAGGTGCATGCATACAAGCATGCATTTATCAGCACACAGCCGTTTAGATCTGAGGCTGAGGGTCTAGCTAGGGTTTAGGGATGGTTAGGGCTATTGTTTTTCATTATTGTTTATTGTTTTTTATTAGGGTTTACTAGGGTTTACTAGCGTGTATGAGGGTTTATTAGGGTCTATTATAATGGTTTTTTAGGCTTTATAATCAGGGCAAATTAGGGTTTATAATTAGGGTTAATAAAGGTTAATTGGGGTTGATTAGGGTTTATAATAAGGGTATATTAGGGTTTAGGGTTTATTAGGGTTTAGGGTTTTCAGGTAGAGGTGGTGTCTTACGCCGACCGAGTGTTTTTCTCGTTTGTCTTTGACCCCGCCATCGTCGTCGATGGACATAAAATACCCTCCCTATTCACTGATGTCAGTTGCTGCTGCTGCTGTTGCTGCTGTTGCTGCTGCTGCTGTTGCTGCTGCTGCTGTTGCTGCTGCTACTGTTGCTGCTGCTACTGTTGCTGCTGCTGTTGCTGCTGTTCCTGAGGCTGCTGCTATTGCTTAGGCTGCTGCTGTTGCTGAGGCTGCTGCTGTTGCTGAGGCTGCTGCTGTTGCTGAGGCTGCTGCTGTTGCTGAGGCTGCTGCTGTTGCTGCGGCTGCTGGTGCTGCTCTTTCTGTTGATGGTGCTGCTGTTTCTGTTCCTGCTGTTGTTGCTTGTCTCTTTTTGCTGCTACTGCGTTTTGTCTTTGGTGCTGCTGCTGCTGCTTATCTCTCCCGTTCTTGTTACAGTTTGTTTCTTGCTGCTGCTGCTGGCACTTGTCTGCTGCTGCGAAGTCTCCACCAAGTCAATCGTTCCTGCTGCTGCTGCTGCTGCTGCTTGCAGGAGGTGTACCGGCTTGCCGATGCCTTCGGCATCCCCCGACCGCCACAGGAGGCCCAGCACCAGCAGCAGCAGCAACAACAGCAGCAAGCAGCAGCAGCAAAATAACTCGCTAGCTTACTTGAGTTGCGTGTTTCTGTTGAGGGTACTCCTCCCGTTGTATTTTTCGTTCAACTCGTTTCATCTCTCCCAGGTGTACGTACACCTGAAATTTAGGCTTGAGAAGGCTGAAGTAGGGATGCGGCAGCAGCAGCAGCAACAGCAGCAGCAGCAACAGCAGCAGCAACAATAGCAGCAGCAGCAACAGCAGCAGCAGCAACAGCACCAGCAGCAGCAACCGCAGCAGGGAAGATCCTAGGGTGTAGCTGTGTTTGTCTCGTAGCGGGCTTCATCTGTTTGCGGTGTATGCACGCGTTTGCTGGTGTTTGCATGCGCATGCAGTATCAGTTGGGGCTGTTGCAATGAGAAGTATCTTCTCTTGTTTTTCTTTCTTTGTTTTCGTCTTTGTTTCATTTTTTGCAGCCTTCCATCTCATAGTAAACAAATACGCATATATATAATCCATATAAATATATACATTATATGTAGATTAATTAAATATATACAAATATATGTATTATATATAAACATGCTTATATATATTAACATGCTTATGCATTGTTAAAGAAATACGCGGGAGTGAATACATCTTAGGGGTCTGCTTTTCTTTCTTTTTTCTCTTAAGCAGCAAACTACAGCTGCATGCATTTCTTTTGCTTCTTCTTTCTTTTTCTTTGATCTTTTTCTTTAGCAGCAAAGTGTAGCTGCACGCATATCTTCTCGTTTCTTCTTTATCTTCAGCAGCGAAGTACAGCTGCATGCATCTCTTTGTTGATATTCTGAGGTATTTTTTTTCTTATTGCACAAAAAGTGCAGAAAAAAATTATCGCCACTGCTGCTGTACATACACCTGAAGACTGAGGAGCTGCGCATACACCGCAGATGTGCATGGCGGTGTAATATTAAATAAACGCAAATTATTGCATTTAAATGCAAATTTGCGCTATTTTTTCATTAAATTAAACTCTCTGGAATTAATTAATCCGATATAGTTCCCAATTATACCACCTGAGTAGCTGCGTGCATTTCATGTAATAGAATTTATTGATACTATACATTATATACATATAATTATATATGTAATTATATAGGTAATTATACAGGCAAATATATATACATAATTATATGCTGAGTTGCAACAGAAAAAAGATATAGATGCGTCTGATGGCGTTAAAACGCAAAATAAATTAAAAAGGAAGGGGGCGGCTTCAGGCTGTCAAAGCAGAGAAAAGAACAAAGAGCGAGGAGATTGAGATACACTGCGTTTGTAGGCATAAATGAATATAATACAAACAACAAAAGAAGAGAAATAAATGAAAGACGAAGAAATAAAATGCTGAGCAAGGCTAATCGGCAAGCAGGGGATATGCTATAACTCAGAGAAGTAGCGAAAAATTATGCGGTGCATGCAGCAGCAGCGACAAGAAAAGAAGTATTTTGATGTTTTGTTTATTTTTCTTTTCCTTTAATCACATAGCAGCAAGCCGTTCGTATTAAAGAGAGGCGAGCAAATAGATAAAAAAACAAAAATGTTTGTTATTGCGTATATCATTGTAATAAAATTCAGCAACGACAAAGACCCCTATACTGAGTTTCTCTACCCTAGCCCTCAAGGCCAAGCGCACTTCTCTTATAGCAACAAACCATCATCAATAAACCCTAAACCCTAAACCCTCGGATTTTAAACCACCTTCTTTATTCCTAATGAAACGAGTGTAGAGTACTGCAACTGCGCACCCGTCTATCTACATACAGAAGCCTTTTAAGTTTAATACATTTGAATTGAGTTTAAATGAGATGGATTGATGAAAGAAATCAAAATAAAGAACTGCTGCACCAGAATAAGAAGAGAGATATCTCTTTATTCGCGCTCAGTAGAGGAAGCTGCCATTGCTTCATAAATAAGGGTGTTTGTTCAAGACATTTGCAGGTATTAAAGAATATAACTATATACTTATAAATAAATATGTTTACACATGCACTTAAACATACATATGCCTATAGGGCTGCACGAAACCTGCTGCACTGTTGGGGTGCCGGTACAGCCGAACGAGTTGCTGCTGCAGTGTGCGTCTCTTGAGTTCTGTTTGTTCATCAGCAGAAAGCAAATTAAATTTAATAAAACTATTTTAAATGTTTTTATTAAAATAAAAATAACAAAAGCAGCTTGCCTAGCAACAGAGACAACGAGGGTGCGGTATGCCCCGAGCTACCGTCAAGCACAGCAGCAGCAGCAGCAGCGCGAGAGTGAGAAGCAGCACATATAAGTAGAAAGATAATCATTCTTTGCATCAATTATTTGAATTAATAATAGAAATTAATAAAAGAATTAGAAAGAAAACGAAAAGGAAGAGAATAAGTCACTGATGAACAGCAAAAGAAACTGAGCAACAGCAGCAACAGCAGCAACAGCAGCAGCAGCAGCAGCAGCAGCAGAGCACAAGGGCAGCAACAGCAGCGCTGTCTCAGCAGCTCAGCAGCAGCGCCCGTCGGCGTTCCCCTGCGGTGTGTCTACAGAGCTTTCTGGTGAAATCATACGCATGTAGTTGGGTTTTTCTATTTGTTTTGTTTGTTGTTTCTACTTTTTCTACTCTTCTAGGAGTGCTTCTGTCTAGTTAAGGAGCTCATTCCTTGGGTATTTACCCTCACTGTGCTGCGGTGTACAGACAGAATGGCGAGAGGCATTCGCAAGGCGGCCTTTCTGCCGTTTTGTTTTCTTTCTATTTCTTTCTTCTCTTGTATATCAAATGTCTTTTCTTCAGAAGATGCTGAAGGAGATGGAAAAGGTGCGTGTTTGTCTCTCTACTCCACCGTAATAATAACTCTATTTCTTCCCGGTTGATCTTATCTGAGGATTTGAGGGCTAAACGCTGTGCGCTTGTTGCTGCTGCTGCATCTGCTGCTTCACAGCATATTTAAATTCTTTCTAGGGATTCACAGACTCTCTCTTCTTCTTGCTGTTGCTGCTGCTGCTGCTGCTGCTGCCAGCTGCTGTCTAGTAGCATCTGCTGGGAGTCGCGTGCCTCTGTTGGAGGGGTGCGGCAGAGCTGATGCTTATAATTTAATGTAAATGTTTGATGTATGATTGTTTTATAATATGTTAAGTGCTCGTGTTCTTCTTCAGAGGGTTTTTCTGTAGAGAAGCAACATGTTCAGTAGAAACCTACGTGTAGATACACCTGAGCGTGGGGTCATTCGTCTGTTTATAAATATAATATTTGTTTCTTTATTATTTCTGCTGTTGTCTTCGCAGTTAAGGACGTAGTGATCGGTATTGACCTGGGAACGACATACTCCTGCGTTGGGGTGTATAGACAGGGCCGCGTCGACATCATTCCGAATGACCAGGGAAACCGTATTACCCCCAGTTATGTTTCTTTTGCTGATGATGAGCGCCGCATCGGTGAAGCTGCAAAGAATGAGGCAGCTAACAACCCTACCAACACGATCTTTGATGTTAAGAGGTTGATCGGTCGCCGCTATAACGAGAAAGAAGTACAGAGAGATAAGGAGTTGCTTCCCTATTCAATTATTAATAAGGATGGGAAGCCTTATATTCGTGTTATGGTTAAGGGACAGCCGAAGGAGCTGGCGCCTGAGGAAGTTTCTGCAATGGTGTTGGGTAAAATGAAAGAAGTTGCAGAGAACTACCTCGGTAAAGAAGTCAAGAATGCAGTCGTTACCGTGCCCGCATACTTCAACGATGCACAGCGCCAAGCTACAAAGGATGCAGGAGCAATTGCAGGTTTGAATGTCATTCGTATCATCAACGAACCCACTGCCGCAGCTATTGCATATGGGCTCGACAAGAAAGACGAAAAGACTATTCTTGTCTACGATCTTGGTGGAGGTACCTTTGACGTTTCAGTGCTTGTTATCGACAACGGCGTCTTCGAAGTGCACGCGACTTCAGGTAGGAATCCGTGAAATACATGAAAATAAGTATAAAATGCAAATAGAAGCAGCGGGGGAAAATGTATGCGCTTACATGACACTTAGTTGATTTATGAACAGGGTGTGTTGGTTGTACGTGCATTATGCACGTTCATTCATCATTTGGGGTGTATGCGGAGGTTTTGTTTTTGTTGTTTCTGCGTTTGTTATGGTGGTGATCAGGTGATACGCACCTTGGAGGAGAAGATTTCGATCAGCGTGTGATGGACCACTTCTTGAAGATCATTCAGAAGAAATTCGGCAAAGATTTGCGAAAAGACAAGAGCGGCTTGCAGCGCCTCCGTCGTGAAGTTGAACGCGCGAAGAGAGCGCTTTCCTCTTCTCACCAGGTGGGTTTGAGGAGGTTTCTTTTGCAAATTAGGACATAATTGATGTGTTACTGCCTTTTTTAGCGATGATCGCTGCTTTTACTGCGTTTTCATTCATGGTTTCCTTCCGTATTTCGGGTGTACACGCAGGTGACGGTGGAAGTTGAGGGTTTGGTTGATGGCGAGGACTTCTCAGAAACTCTGACTCGCGCTAAGTTTGAAGAATTGAATGCAGATTTGTTCCAGAAGACTTTGAAACCAGTCAAGCAAGTGTTGGAAGATGCTGATCTGAAGAAGTCTCAGATTGACGAAATTGTGTTGGTGGGTGGCTCTACTCGTATTCCTAAGATTCAGCAGCTTATCAAGGAGTTCTTCAACGGAAAGGAACCCAACAGAGGCATCAACCCCGACGAAGCCGTCGCTTATGGTGCAGCAGTTCAGGCGGGTATTCTTTCTGGAGAAGGAACCCAAGACATGGTTTTGCTCGACGTTACTCCCCTCACTCTCGGTATTGAGACTGCAGGTGGTGTGATGGCTAAAGTTATCAACAAGAACACCGTCATTCCCACCAAGAAGACACAAACCTTCTCTACATACTCTGACAACCAATCGGCTGTCCTTATTCAGGTGCGTAGCAGAGTAGTGCTATTCACGGCAGGAAGTGCAGTGCGTAAGGTTATTCAGCAGTTTTAAGTGTTTATGTTGTTGCAGTACATCACCCGCGTGCATATATGATGATATATATTGTAGTAATAATGTATATTGTTATTATTATGCTATGTTAATCATCCGTAAGCACTTTCTATACAGATTACAACTATCATGGGCATTCGTAGTGTTGTTGACGTCTTCCATTAGATATACATGCCTCCCCGCAAGCATGCATATAATATACATATATATATGCATATATATATATATATATATGTCTTGATGCTGTATATGCAGGTGTACGAAGGTGAACGCCCAATGACGAAGAACAATCATTTGTTAGGAAAGTTTGAGTTGACGGGTATTCCACCTGCACCTCGTGGAGTTCCTCAGATAGATGTTACGTTTGATGTTGATAGAAACGGTATTTTGAATGTTAGTGCAGTTGATAAGGGGACAGGAAAGAGTGAGAAGATTACTATCACCAATGATAAGGGTCGTCTTACCCCTGATGAGATTGAGAGGATGATTCAGGAGGCAGAGAAGTTTGCTGATGAAGACAGAAAAACTAAAGAAAGAGTGGATGCAAGAAATGCTCTTGAAGGATATATACACTCCATGAGATCTACTGTTGAAGATAAAGATAAACTCGCAGATAAGATTGAAGATGATGATAAGAAAACAATCACAGACAAGATTACAGAAGCAAATGAATGGCTTGTTGCAAACCCTGAAGCAGACGGAGAAGAGCTTCGAGACAAACTTAAAGAGCTAGAGAGTGTATGCAACCCTATCATATCCAAGGTGTATGGGCAGACAGGAGGGGCTTCAGATTCAGGAGCAACATCAGCATCAGACGACGACTACAGCAGCCATGATGAGTTGTAAAAGGAATGAAAATAAAGGGCTTGAGAAGGCGTATTATTCTTTTCTTTACACAGTCAAGGCATCACGAAAAGCATATACATCAAACAGCTAATTGACTTAACATACACTTCAGCTGTATGTATATATGCAGCATCGTACTGCTTTATCTATCGATGTCTACGAATGTATATATGCATATATATATATCTATATTTATATATATGTATATGTATATACCCCTCTCTATACGCTTTGTCTCTATACAATTTACGAGGGGTTTTGTAGGCAGAGGAGGATATAGCCTTTAAATGATAGTAAAGGCTGTTGCAATATAATTAGTTTTACAACAGAACAACAATCAAGACCCGGGTAAACTGTCTATACACCCGAATTATGTTCATTTGCGCAGCGGAGTGTTCACGAGTTCGCGCTACGCATGCAAATTGAACAAAATGAATAAAAGGGCTCTTTAAATAAACTCCCCAACATCTCATATTGCTTCTTTAAATAACTATTATACACAACAAATACAAACGACTACGAATAGATCAACAGAATAAATGCATGCACGCATGCAAGTAGCCAGGAAGTAGGTTATCAACTTAGGTTTCCGACTACCATATGTATATATATATATATATATATATATATATACTAAAGAAACGCCGATTATGGATATATGTAATATTATATATATATATATATATATATATATATAATGTATATATATGTATAGTATATATATAACCTAAAGAAGCAGAAGGGGTTGGTGATGAGTTTATCTTTAGGTTGATAGCAGAGGCTTCTGTTTTTTGTTTCTGTCTGAAAGGGTTTATATTTGCGTTTGATTGGGTAAGGGTATTTCTATTTGTTTTTGTTTTACATCTATTCATTATCACTAATCTTCATGCAAGTACAGCGTCTCTGTCTTCGTTTAATTTAATCTAAAGAAATGCAACTAATTAATACTTCAATAAACAGAAATAAAAGTTAGGGGCAGCGATTTAGCTGCAAAAGTACTAACAAATAAACGAAGGTGCATATACATGCGGCGAGCACTTCATTGAACAGATGCACTAATCTACTACCTGAGTATTATATATATATATATATATAATATATATAAATATACATATATAATATATATATAATATACAAATATATATACATATATATCTATATGCATATATATATATAAAGCAGAGGTCCAGTTTAGCAAGTTAAAATGCACATAAACATATAAATAAATATATATATATATATATATATATATATATTTATACATATGTATATATATGATGCACTGCAGATAAAGAGAAGACACTGTAGAACAGAAGAAAAAACAGAAAAAGTAATACACGGCGAAGCTGCGTGCATGAAGAAGAAAATTAAGTGCAGAGTAAAATAATGCATGTCTTTTTGCTGCTCATGCATAAAACAAAGCCCGAAACCTGCTCACCGCTTGCAATATATATATATATATATATATATATATATATATATATATATATATATAT